GGGGGCGTGGTGGGAGGGCAGATTATTCTGGAAGTCCGCCCTGACCGTGTGGGTCTCCTGTTTGGAGCCCTTTCCAGCCCCCTGGGTACAGTGCATACTTTGGCCCCAAGGCAGGTCGTCAACCCCCCCTGCCTTCCCTCCCTCACATGGAGCACAGCCTTGGACACCCTTCTCTGAGTCCAGGCCGCCTTACCGCCTCCAGGCCTTGGCTGAGGCTCCTCCCTCCGCCCGATCAGCTCTCCCCAGCTTCCCACCTGTGTTCATCGTTCAAGGTGTGCTTACCTCTGGTCTGAGAGTCCTCCCCGGTGCCCTCGTTCAGAAAGGATTTCCCCCCGCCACGTTCTGGAAGTGAATTGAAACCAGTCGCCCTTCTGTCAGCCAGTGCCTGGTGCTGTGTAGCTTAAACATGTCTTGCTGCTGCTGAGTTCTTTTCCTGCTTGACTCTCGGGAGGGGGACAGGGGGTAGGTGAGAAGAAAGCTTCAGGGACACCCCAGTGGCCCCCCATGTGCCTGGCCATAGTATTTGGGTCCTCACCGTGGCTGACCTTGATCTCAGTCTAAACCAGAGCTTAATTAATGCTTCACTAGCATTTGCCAAGTGCCTGTTACAGGCTCAGCCCTTTGCTGGGCTCTACTGAGGACTTCACAGATAGCAGTCAGTCCCCAGAGGCCACCACCAGTCACGGCAGGGGGCGTGGGGTGGTCACTCCTGTGATGAGCTCAGGGCACAAGAGGACAACAGGTTTCCAAGTGTCGAGTCGATGGCAAGTGGCGAGCGGCAAGCCAGTGGGGCTTCCTGAAGGAGGAGGCTTTGGCATCAGGCAGATCGGGCTTAAAGTCACTCGAAGCACGATAACCTTGAATAGCCCTTCTCTTCTGAGCCTGTTTCTCGTTTGTAAAAATAAGGACAATGGTGTGGCCCTCTCCCCAGGATTTTTTCAACATAAAATGAGGAGGCAGGCCTAACACACCTGACCTATAGTAGATGTTCAATAAACATGAGTCCTTTCGCTTGACCTCATCTTCCTCACACATAAAGAAGTAGTCAAGTGCATCGGTGTTGACGGCCTGAGTTTGGGTCCTAGCCCTACTTTCCCAGCTGTGTGTCCTTGGGCAGGTCACTTAACTGCTCTGTGCCTCACTTTCCTCATCCGTAAAAGGGGGCTAGTGGTGGTCCTTGCCTCACGGCGCTGATGGGAGACCACATGGCGGGAGGTGAGCAAAGTACCTAGAACAGCAGCTCCTCCCTCCTGAGCCCTCCGGACCTTTTCTGCTGTTACACATCCTCGCCTGGTCGGTGGAGCATTTGAGATGTGAGTCGGGCAGAAGTGAGTCGGGAGGCAGGGCTTGGGAGCTGCCAGCAGGCTTCCTCTGCCGCGGCCCATGTGTCTGCAGGATCGGGGGCAAGTCAGGGGGAGAAGCCGATCCACAAGCCTTGGGGGTCTTATTATCGGTGGTAGGGGACTCCCTGGTCCCCCAAACGCCCATTCCCACCAGGACACCAGCCCCAAGTGTCAGGGTCCAAGCTGACACCTGAGGGGCAGACACATCAGTTCTACCTAAGGCAGAACATAAGGGGCAAAAGCATGCGGAGGGGGTCCCGGGCCTCTGGGATGTGTTCGGAAGATTGACCGCAACTGCTGGTCCGTGCCCGTCAAGCAGCCCTTGCGGGCCTGGCGGCTCCCGAGGGCATCTGTCAGGGTCCTGGAGCCTCGTCAGACCTCCCTGTCGTCTGCCCCCCAATCCTCCTCCCAGGGAACCTGGCAGGCCACGGGCGCTGTCTCCCTGATGGGCGACGGTAACACCGTAAATGATAAAAGCAGAGTCGAGGCCAGCAGCCTCCCTGTCACCGGGTGGGGCAGAGGAAGCAGGAAGCAGGGCTCGGCGAGGAAGTCGGTCTTCCCAGAGTTAGTCCCATGGCTGCTTCTCAGCCTTAGGGGACCCAGATAAGTGGGGGCCCCCAGGAGCAGCGGGGAAGGTGGGGCCCCTCAGAACGAGACGGGAGGTCAGGCCCCGGGCCTCGCCTGCCTCCCACGCTGACTTTTTGGCCTCTGTTTGAATTTTCTGCCGGCCTGGCCTTGGGCATTACTAGGCCCTTGTGTTGGGGCTCCAACATATCCTTTCTTGTGTCTCGTGTAGCATCTGTAGCCTGAGTGTCACAACCGAGGCCCTGTCCCCTCGTCCGGCTGTTCCATGGCACACAGACTCTGCTCAGGAACCCCCACCACTAGCTCCCCACCCTGGTGGGTGCCACCAAGGTGGGAGCCCGGGTGGACAAAAAGAATACCAGCCCTGAAGGCCGACAGGCAGCTGACCCCAGCTTCCTTGCCGACCTTCACCCCACCCCCGTGTTCCTGGCTCAGACTTCAGGTGTCTCTCCGGGATGACGCGGGGGTCCCGAATGGTCGCAGGCCCCCAGCCACCCCTCCTCCAGTCCGCGGTCTTTGTGGTGATGGGGTGGTCTGGAAGTGCCACGTTGCCCTCGGGGGCTCCCCATTGCCCACGGGGCAGAGAGCACGTGCCCGAGCCCAGCATGGAAGGCTGTTCCCCTCCCCCCCGAAGTCTTCCCAGACCCCTTCTCAGACTGGGGCTCCTTGGCTCCCGTGTGAGGGGTCCCCTGTGTCACCCACATGGCTACGATGTGGTGACAGGCCTGGCTCGTTGCAGTCAACACGGAGCTTCTTGGGAGCAGGGTCGGTCCCCGTACCTGTCACTGAGACACAGGCCATGATGGGTCGAAGCCCACGGGGCCCTGGCGGGAAAGGGGTGTATATCGTCTGCCACCTGTGGCCAGAAGGAGCTCGGGGCTGGGGCACCGAGGTGGACAGCTCGGACCCTCCAGGACCAGCCCGCCCTGGCTGGAGAGAAGTGCTCCTGGCTGTTCTGAACGGTGGCCACTCCTCCCCCACACGTAGCCAGCCCAGGACTCCGGGCTGCGGCGGCAGCCGTGTGCCTGGGACTGGAGGCCTGTCCCTGAGCCCCGGGGGGGCGGGGGAGCCCTCGGCCTGCATCGCTCTCATACCTGTCTCTCTCCTCTCCCCAGGATGTTCGATGAGCGAATTTTCACAGGTATGTGCGGGTACCATCCAGTCCATTCTGAACCTCTGAGCTGATGCCCCCGAGGGCTTGAGCCGCCATCCCACGGGGACCCTGGCGTGGGGAGGGGGCCTGGGCGTGGCCACCGCACCCCGGGCAGACACAGCCCCCAGCTCCCGGTGCAGGCGCCCCCTTCAGGGACAGTAAAGCTAACGTTTGCTGAATACTGACCTGTGGCGGGCAGTCTGGCTGGGAGCCTGTTCTGTTCTACTTTAATTTCGTTTTGAACAGTCCTGTGAGGCGGGTTCTGCTCTTCTCCCTGAAGCCCAGCCAGTAAGCCGTGAGGCTGGCCGCAAACCCAGGCGTGTGGCCCCGAGCCCGGGCTGTAACCAGTAGGCGGCACGCCCCTCAGGAAGAAGAGGAGGGCTCTGCGTGATGCAGCAAAGGGGGCAAGGATCTTGGGGCGCAGCAGACCTGGGTCCTAGTCCTGGCCCTGCGGCCCGCCAGCTTTGTGACCTGGGCAGGGTTATAGGAGCCTCACTTTCCACATCTGTGAAATGGGGGGCGATGAGGGCACCCAACTTCCTCTGGGGTTCTCCGATAATTAAATGAGAGAGGGCTCCCGCAGTATGGCCTTGGGGGCATCGGCCATTTTCTGGAGGGTTCCCTCAGCCTTAGGAGTGTACGTGAGGTCGGGACAGACATCCTGTAATCCTCCCGGATCCCTGGCCTCCTCCGGCGCTGGGGCCCATGTTCCTTCTCCCAGGAGGCATCTCTGCTCAGGACCTGTTCCTGGCCTGGCAGAGGCCAGACGACCCACAAAGGGCGCCCCCGAGAGCCTCACACCAAGGCCCGTGCCCACATGTCCCACAGGCCAGAGGCTGGCGGGCCTTTGTCCTGACCTTCCTTGTCTCTCCACCCAGGGAACAAGTTTACCAAAGACCCCACAAAGCTGGAGCCAGCCAGCCCACCGGAGGACACTTCTACAGAGGTCTCCCGTGCCACTGTCCTCGACCTGCCTGGGACTGCTCGGTAAG